GGGGGGGTGGGGGGGGGTCGATGAGAAGGCTGGTCCTCACCATATGTACGTTTTATCCATGCTGCATTCCTCAGTTGTTTTGGGGGTGAAACTCTCCATCCTTGAGAAGCGATCAAAGTAATTAAACTCATTCACATGCTTGATATGTGTCTCTTGTCTGGCTTTTTTTTTTTGCTGTTACGATTCTCAATCTGACAGACTCTTTCAGACAGCGTGTGTTTTTTGTCTACGAAAGGAAGATCAGAGCCTTCAGTCCGTTGGAGAAGGTACGGTTTGTCTCTCTTTGTCCCTCTTTTTATTTGTCTTCTTGCCCAAGGCCCTAAGCCAATTGATTGTTCATGCTTCCGTCTGCATCTCTCTTTGTCCCTCATTTTCTTCGTCTTCTTGGCCAAGTCCCCAAGCCAATTGATTGTTCATGATTCCGTCTGAATCTCTCTTAGTCCCTCTTTTTCTTTGTCTTCTTGGCCAATTCCCCAAGCCAATTGATTGTTCATGGTTCCGTCTGAACCTCTCTCCCAACGCTTTTTTCCTGTCTTTTCCTTTCTTGTCCTCTTCTCCCCTCCCCACTGGCTGGCAGGATCCAAGATCATTGGCTTAGGCAACCATGTGCCTGCAGAATCATCTTATCAGCATCGACTTCTCGGGTACCTGACCAATTTCTCACGATTCCTTCCGAAAACTCTCTGCCTACGCTTTCTCCCTCTCTCCTTTTCTCCCGCCCTCTTTCCCCGTTGTCCACCTGCCACATCATCAAACATCTTGCAGCCTGGCACGCATGGGCCTGCAGGATCATCTCAAGGCGGGGACTTCTCTGGGACGGATGGATGTGCAGGATCGAACAAGGACCCTTGTGGCCTTTTTTTTGGGGGGGATGGAATGGTTTTTGGATGAGATTACAAAATTCACTGGTCTGGTTCATGCTGTTTTTACCTGGTATGGGCCTTGTTTCACCACTCTCAAATGTTAGAAATGGCTGGAGGAGGTTGACATAGGTGGTGGCAAGATACAAATGCCTTAAAACAGCCGTTATTTGCAGATGATTGGGAAACTTCAGGTGCACATGTGTGTGTGTGTGTGTGTGTGTGTGTGTGTGTGTGTGNTGTGTGTGTGTGTGTGTGTGTGTGTGTGTGTGTGTGTGAGAGAGAGAGAGAGAGAGAGAGAGAGAGAGAGAGAGAGAGAGAGAGAGAGGTGCAGAAAATTGTCTCTGCACCTCTCTGCGAGCATGTCCAGATTCAGGTGACAAATCCATTGCACATGCGAATGAACGTGTGTGCTTCATAATGGGCAACACACAGACACAGACACACACACACACACACACACACACACACACACACACACACACACACACACGCACATACACGGCCTAATTCTTTGCCCTGCTTTAGAGCATGGGCTGTTTGGATGTTTACGGGTGCCCACGAGTTCTCTTGGGGGGAATGTATGTCTTGTGGGCTGGTGTGGAAGCCTTTCCCAGTTTTTCTGACCCTTAGCAGTGGGGGGCAGTGGTTCTTGCTGGAGGAGTCTTCTGTCTTAGGTAAGTTGTCTCTTATCTTCTTCCTCCTCTCTGGCAGTGACGCGAGTGTGTAGTTTGAGATGAATGTCGGGAATGCCAATGATTTTGTTTTGCTAGAAGAGTTTTTGGTTTTGTGGGCCCATGCGGAAGGCTCTCCAAGGTTATTCGGACCTTTGAGGGGGTCGGGTCGGTGCCTTCTTGCTGTAGTAGTCTTCCTTCTTAGTTAAGTTGCCTTCTGCCTCCATCCCCTTATGGTTTGAAATATATATGTAATATGTATATCAGCCTCCTGATGAGTCGGTGAAACTCCGACGAAACAGTTTGTCACAGCCCCTCGTTTGTTGTCCTCTTCTCTCTCTCTGCCTACGGTTTACCGGGCAGTTCTGTTTGTGACGATATATAGTCAAACAGTATATATATAGTCAAATAGAGCTGCCAGTAAACCGTAGGCAGAGGGGGAGAAGAGGACAACAAAATATGTGCAAGTGTGCCGCTTTGGCGGCAGATGGGTGTGTGGGCACTTGGCACTGAACCACACAAATGTGGCCAACCTTGCATTTTCTATTATCTTGCCTATCTATACTTTTTCATTACTGATGGCTTGTGATGATTTGTGAAGGGAATGAGAAAGAGAATCTGGGGTCTTTTAAAACAACACACGCACACACAAACATGGCCAACCTTTCATCTTCTACTGTATTGCCTATCTATACCTTTTTTCAATTGATCTATGGTTTGGGGCATGGCTATGCCGGACCTGGACTCGGACATTTCCGGACCTCAAACCGGACATTTCCGGACCTCCGGACATAGGAGAATCTGGACGGTCCGGACGTTTGGACAGGTGCAGAAAAAAAACCCGAAAAAAAAATGCGGCATCTCTTCCTTGCTCCCTCCGCAGCAATTTGTCCTTGCCGATTGTCCCTCTCAGAAGTGCGACATCGCAGGCACCTTTCAGGAAATGACCCCTCAGGCGGGAGGCAGTCCCGCTTCTATTCTGGTTGCAGTACTTGCATCTCCACTTCTTTCCCTTATCAGCTACCCCGGATACTTTGACATCTGGGAAGTGCTTCTTCACCGCTTGTGCTGCATGCTTAGTCATGATGCTGCATCACATAAGAGGTTCAAAAACCAGTAGAGTCAGAGTCTGAAACTCCGAGTCATCCTTGTCCTCCCCCCCTACCTCTACAGCCATTCACTCTCTAACACCCTCCGTCCTCGATAGGATTGATTGATTGACAACAAAGCTGACTTGTTGATATGTGAAAAAAAAATCGGACAGCACTTCCACACCCCCTGTGGGGTCAGAAAGTCCAAACTTCCAAAATAATTCCATACGGGGGGCGGGCAGCAACAAACGAGCAACCCCGAAAAATTGGACAGCATTTTGCCATCCCCATGGAGTCAGAAGCCTCCAAAAAATTCCTGAATAATTCCACACGGGGCCTGGGAAGCAACAAACAAACGCCCCCAAAAAACCGGCGATTATTTTGCCACCCCCCATGGAGTCGGAATGTGAAACCTAAAAAAAAATCCGAAATAATTCCATATGGGGGCTGGGCAGGAACAAACAAACGCCACCCAAAAAATCGGACAGCATTTCATCCCCCATGTGCCCTCTCTCACCCTGTTTAACTGAGTCTAGAGGTTACTTCAGAATAAGGGGAAGAGTAACATGCCTAGCAAGAATACCCTCGTGATACCCAGTACCCTTTACTGAGACAAAGTGGGAAGTTGTGGAAGCAAAATATTCGATGAAATCGAAACTTACAAGAAAATGTTGAGAGACTTTGCAGTTGGGAGAGTAAAGAACCGTCACGAGTTCATAGAGTATACGTTCGACATCCATGGATCAGATGGGGAGCTGCATAGCACAATCTCTTCCTTGGAGACCGTGCAAAGGGCAGGAGAAGTAGTCAATGCTCAGTGGGCCTAAATAGAGGCAACACCTCTTTAAACTGTAAGCAAAGATTCTATGACCATTCATGTTCAGGTCACAGCAAGTATTTGTCTGTGTTTATTCAACAACATCTTCATCATCAAACATCAATCAGTTCCCTTGCATCATTGGCTTCAGTCCAAATGGACAACTCACGAGCTCAGTTTGATTCTCTTTGGCAGTTTCAATAAGGACTACCCCATGCCACCACATAAGAGATCAGCAATCAAATTACTTATCACACAACATCTATCAGTCAGTTTTGAGATCAGTACCAATTAATTTATGTTCCCATCAAGTACACACGGTCAGTGAATTCTCGGTCTGCATCCCTCATATCATTTTCAACCCTAGCTTTTATCAGTTGACTCGGTTCCAATATTACTCTTGATGCATGAGTGACATCACTCTCTTCTGTGCTAGTCAACCAGTCCTGGACAATCTCCATAGGATTGCCTCCAACGATGTTTTTCATTGTCCAGTATATCACTGCTGCTGGATTCAGGCAAGGAAACCTGTCAATCTTCGTGGTCCTCCCTGAGTTCGCAGAGGGAACTATCCAGGATTTGAGGTTCTATGTGAAAAAGGGGAAGGAGACTCATGAGCATTTTGACTCAGTTTGGGTCACGGCAGCTCGGTATGTTGAGGAGAGAGCACGAGTGCTTCAAGGGGGTGCAAAGCTGATTCATAGCTTTGGTCCTAGCTATACTTGAGGTCTTTGGTCCCTTTCTACCTCATCGATGGCTCTTACTGGAGTGATTTGGTTGATTTGGCCAAAAGATACGTCTCACCAGCCGAGATTGACTACGAGGCAGTGACTGAACCATCAAAGTTTCAACATCTCAGACGAAGGATCTTCTCCAGACCATATCTTTCTACTCTGTGGGAGGAGTTCTATGCCATGTTTGATTTCCGAATCTTTGGCCTTGGATGGACCTATTCGGAACTCATGGGCTTAAGGTGGCTCTACATCACGAGGCCACAATCTCAGGAGGTACCTAGACGTGGCTCAGGGCGCTCGATACGAACAGTCAAGAATGAGATTGAGGATGAGACTTTAGAGGGATGAGTGAGGATTCTTACGAGTGCTGGCCATGTCTCTTCATCCGTATTTTATGATATTATTACGAGTTCTCACCTTCCCTCATTCATCTTGTCTTTGATTTGAGTCAAATCAGTCCTGTTCTTGTTTCATTGGCATTGCTTGACGATATGCTCTTTGCTGGTCATGTCTCAGTTCTCAAATTCCTAAATTGATAGTCATGATGTGCAATGCATTTTATTTTTTAATTTATTAATTGCATAATTGCATTTGCTGTTCCGAATCACAATCAAAGATTCCTAAGCCCGGGGACCGGTGTGGACCGTCATTGAAGGGTTTCGCTCGAAGTTGGACGCACGCAACAGGAAGGGATTTGCATTAATTAATTAATTAATTTATTGCAAAAATTAAGCAAAATCCTGCGTGACAGCCTGTTGTCTTTCCAGTCGCCAGAAGTGGCCTGATTGGAAAAAGTGCAACAGCGTGTCGAAGCCAGGGCGGGCAACGATGACTCGACTTTCAAAATGGAGTTGGCCCCTCCTGCTTGCCCCCACCCCAACGAGGCCGCCAAAATAACGAACTCTTACAGCGCCGAAAGGAAACGAATTCGAAAACGCAACGACTGGAAAAAAAAACAAGTCGTCCAGATATCACAGGTGTCCGGAACCCCCAAAAAATACAAAACGGGCCTGAAAAACCCCGGTACTAATTTTTTGGGGTTGACACCAATGCGAGGAAGGGCCCTGGCCAACCCCCCGATATATTTTTTTTTGGCCAATTTTCAATATGATCCAGACCTTCCGACTGGAAGTCTGGATTCCGGTCTGGATCCCGACCGTCTGGATGGGGGTCTGGACATCCGGATCTTGTGATGATTTGTGGATGGAATGCGAGAGAGAGTTTGGGTTTTTTTGAAACACGCACACTGAGTTGGTGAAAGTCCGACGAAACAGTCTGACACAATCATGCTTTTTTTCAGTGTATAGCAGATATGACAATACACACACACACACACACACACACAGAGAGAGAGAGAGNAGAGAGAGAGAGAGAGAGAGAGAGAGAGAGAGAGAGAGAGAGAGAGAGAGAGAGAGAGAGAGAGTTGAAGTGGTGTGGTGATCGACTAACTTGTCTTGGTGTGTCCTCAACTGTTTGAGCACGAACGGGTTGGTTGGCGATCAAGATTTTCGACTATTTTGCTAGCGCAGAGACGGACTCTGGTGTTCGGGTCATGTCTGCTGGGGACTTGATGCGTGCTGTGGTACCAGTTCTGCCACCGTGGGCATCAGGTGCGATAAGAGAGGGGAAATTGGATGGTGAGCCTAGCCCTGGGCATTTGCATGGCAACCAGTCAGAGTTGTTGATGCTATTCGACGTGGACAAGGATGGCTTCGTCTCCTTTCCTGAGTGAGTGACACTTCCCCATCTCCTTACCCCTAAAATCTAGTATCTGCAGCCAGAAAGAGTCTATGTCATCCGTTGCTGACAAGGAGTTGTAGTCTTTGGGAAGATTCCCTCACCAGTCCCAAAGTTGGATTGGTCTGTCCGTTCCGTCTCTTTTTCACTTGACTGGAGCTGTCCGAACCTTTCCCAAGCTGTCCCCGGCTGCCCAAAGCGTCCCAACTCGATCCAACTCCCAAACTGTCTTAAGCTGTTCCAAGCCCTCCTGATCTGTCCCAATCTGTTCCAGTCTGTCCCAAGCTGCCCCAAGCTGTTGCAGGCTGTCCCAAGCTGTCCCAAGTTGTCCCAAGATGTCCCAAGATGTCCCAAGCTGTCCTAACGGCCTGTGCCAATCTGTTCCAAGGCTTCCCAACAAGGTGTCCCAGGGTGTCCCAAGGTGCCAGAAGAAGCTGCTCCGAGCTGTTAAGCTGTCCCAAGCCGTCCCGAGCTGTCCAGAGCTGTCCCAAGCTGTCCCAAGCTGTCCCAGCTGTCCCATACTATCTCAACGTTTCTTAAGTTGTTCCGAACTGTCCCAAGCAGTCTCGAATTGTCCCAAGCTGTCCCAAACCGCTGTCTCACGAAGCTGTCCCAAGCCGTCCTAAGGCCCCAAGCTTTCCCAAATTCCCAGTCAGTCGCAAGCTGTCCCATGCTTCCAGGTTGTCCCTTGCAGTACTNCCCAAGCTTTCCCAAATTCCCAGTCAGTCGCAAGCTGTCCCATGCTTCCAGGTTGTCCCTTGCAGTACTAAGCTGTCTAAATTTGTGGGAAGTTGCCCCATGCTTCATTCTAATCTGCCGCTGTTGCAACCTTCTGCCAACAAAAAGCTGTGGTATGATTCTGTGTTTCCTGTTGTTGAAGACCCATGTGCGACTGCTGAACCACGACCCATGCAACCTACTTTATCACCCAGTGTTGAGGAGCAAGTGATGCCTCTTGAGGAGCATTGTGCAGCTTGTGCTCAGCAACTGCTGTGCGCTGTAGCCGACAAGCTGAAGCTTATGAAGAGCCAGCCACCAGAAAAGTGATTTTTATGCATGATTTCAGATTTCTTGAATTTTTTGTTACTGGGACAATTTTCTCGCGTGTTCATGACATCGCCTCTGTCAAGAACATTTCAGTGATGTGCCGTCTTCCATCCTGTTGCGTCAACGGCTGTGATGGGTGGATCGTCTTGATGCCTTAGCAGCTACTTCGCCACAGTGGTTATGGTGATCAACCAACGAGCGCCATGAGGTAACCTAACTTGCGCACCAGCTGCAGGGGATACCAACTGCTATGGAGGAGCATGGGTGCCCGAGGAGCAGCTGGGACGAGAGAACCGTTGTGCCGTACACACTCTGACGAAACTGAAATCTCTTTTCTTTGTCCCTTTTTCCCATTCATAATATTCCAGATTGAAGTGGTCATCAGCACTCCCTTCTTGTTCTCATAGGCAGATATCATGCTCACCCGTGTTATGAAGGTTAATTCTTATTGCTGTTCATTGCCCTGTACCCTTTCTATGCCCCTCTGACTTGTTATTGCTCCTGTTTGCCCTTTCTAAGCCCCTATGACTTGCCTGCTATGCTGAGATGGGCTGGGTATCTGTGCTATCTATGTACTTCCGTCAATATCCTGCTTCTGTCTTTTTTTCTTTTTTTTTACTAAAAAGAAAATTCCATTGCAGGCTGGGAAACAGGCCCAGCGTCCCTCACATCAGAAGCCGCGACATACAGGGATGAGCCAGGCTCTCCGGCTTGGCTTAACCCAAACCGCAACAATTGCGCAAAGCTCAGTTTTTTCTCAAAGGAGATACCCAAGGCAGTCATTTAATTTGTACACCCTGCAATGAAAAAGACGACCCCTATGCCCAGTACCCCAACTACCAATGCTCTATATGCCCAGGAATTAAACACCTTCTACAACAGCAATACACAACACAAATTTTGCACTATCAAACCACATCTACCCCAGGCTACTTCAACCCTGCGCACTTGGTCTACATTTTTAATATCTACTGCAATTGGCAGCCAAGTCCTTCCTACCACACTTGTCTCTAAAGTTTCCACAAAACATTGTCAATCTATAACTTGAAGAAGCAATTTTATGGACAAGTTTACAAAAAGAATGCAGAGAATCTCAATTCTGGCAGTCTCCCTTCATTCTGAATTACAGCGACCAGTCCTGCGAACATCTCCCAACGACTAACAAACAGTTTGAGCGACTTCGCAGAGAAAATTTCCCAAAGACTAACAAACAGTTTGAGCGACTTCGCAGAATAGCCTTTCTTTTGGACATTATATTCCCAGTCAGCAAGAATTGCCTATTTGATACCAAACTTGACTTCTGCTTTGACCATCGGTGGTGTGAGACATTCCCCTCTTCTCACCGCTGAGTTTCTCAGTATCCAAAGGGTCCAGACTCCAAAGTATTGCTCCTCTAAGTGTCTCCTCAGCATACTGAAGTCGATCCCCTCGTGATGTTGTCCGAGAGGCTGCACCCAGAAGTACGAATCGGTCTGACTATCATGTTTCAGCGTTAGGAACCGACACCGAATCGCCCATCCACCAATCCCAGAAAGGGGGGGAAAGTTCACAGAGTAGAGCAAAATGTTGTATATCTTCGATTCTTGTCCCCGGACAAATTTCACAACACAGGCTTGCTTTGGTTGTTCACTTAGAACACCATGCTGCAAGTGGAAGTGCGAGGTGCATCATCAGCCATAGCACACTCACATGCTTGACAACCGACAAGTCCATCAACTGTTTCCAAAGGCCAGCCAGTGCCCTCTCTAGACGGATTAGTGAATCTTGAATCCAATTCGTAGCCATCCATCTGTTCGCCACTCTCCAGTTGATATCCAATTCCGGCGTCACAATCTGGTAACCCAATTCGGTTGAGTACCAGTGCAGCTGTATCTGTTGCTGATTCTGTTTGAGATTCTGCCATGCCCAATTCGTGGGGTCAACAGATAGCAGATAAGATGGTTGGGACAGCCAGTAGAGTCTATACTGTTACGATCCTGGTCATTTCCGAAGTGCAAATTCACAATGAAAGACAATGCCACCCCATTGCGAAAGAAATGAAAGCACTTGCAAAGAGATAAGGACCAGAGGGGAGAGAAAGAAGAAGAAGAAGAAGAAGAAGAAGAAGAAGAAGAAGAAGAAGAAGAAGATGTACACCAACAAGACCAATTACAATTCCCCCTTCTCACTCCACCTTCCTCCTCCTCCTTCTCTTCACCAATCTTATTCTTCTCTCATTAATAATAATAACAATGAATGGATGAACCAGAATCAATGTCCGAAGTTCCCTCTTACTGCTGACTCAACTCAACAACAACAACCAGTCCACCATAGCTATGGCTTCCCTCCTTCAGCCTCCTCTCTCAGGCATAGGCTATGGCGGACTAATGAGGGCCTTGCCCTGACGTCCAAAGGACAACCCAAAGCAGCTATGGTGCTGCACTGATGTCCAAAGGACAACACAAAGCAGCTATGCCGCTACTGACTGGTCCGCCATGCCTGACTCTGCCTCGAGCTTCCTTGGTGCCGCACTACCCCAACTGGGGCCTTCCAGATGCAGCGCCCAACAAGGTGATGAAGATGGTGTCTACCATAGCCAGGTAAGTGCCTCGCCACTCTCCTACCATGCCCCCTTCTTCCTCCTCCTCAAGCTGGACTGCTCGCCATAGCCAGGCTGAGCTCCAGTGGCCCTTCACCTCCAAGCAGCGCTGCACCAGACCAGCGCTGCGCTCCAGCAGCATGTCGCCAATCCTTGCACACCGCAAATGAGGAAGAGCTCTTTGCTCTTCCTGGAGATATAGCGGCCTACCGGCCTCCTGGGCGGTGACTTCCTAGGCCGAGTGGCCTCCCAGCAACCGGTACCTCCTCCCTTTCGGAGGGAAACATCATTGCAGGCTCTGCTATCCTCCGTACAGGCCCTAGACCTGGGCTACTTGGACTGGTACCGGCCTACCACTATCCTACCGCTACTGGGCCTCTAAATTTGTCTTCTTCTGCTCGGCCTCCAGTACCCGACACCCCTACCACTACTTGAGTGGTACCGGCCTACCTGCTACTTTAGTGTTTTTCCCCGCTGTTCTAAGTGTTGCGGGCCTACCCCCGCTACTTGAGTGTTTTCCCCCCTGCAACCCTCAAAGTCACGGCCACAGGTAAGTACCGGCCCTGTGGGGCCCTTCAACCAACAAGTACCCTTGCGGGTCATACACACACTCAACCGACAAGCACTCAGACAGGCATGCAAACCAGCAGGCACGCACACACACAGATATGGAAATCACAGCAGAATGCGGGAATTTCAGCAAGGCATTCATTCCAGCGGCAAATCCCAGAAATCAGCAGTGTTCTCAGTCTGTGTTTTTGGCAGGTCATTACAATACTACCTCTATAGGCATCCTCATACTCCAGTACACAGACAGGAAGCAGGTCTGCAACAGCAGGAAGAGGCACTGGCTCTGGAGCCAGAGCGAGTTTCTCTCCCATTGCCACCTGTCCTCCTCGTGTCTCCCAAGCCAAAAATTGGATGTTTGCCACTGCGGAATAGTCTTCCATTTATCAGCAATCGACTGAGCGATATCCATCGTCACACTCGTGATGCAGCTCATTCAATGTGCAGATAACAAATCTTTTTTTTTTTGTTTGTTGTTGTGAACAACAAATCTTTATACTGTGTGGCTCCGATCTGTTATCCAAGCCGGTCTGCGCTGACGTGCCAGGGTGTTTATTTGGCAGAGGTCTTGTCGTCCACATTCGCGATGTCAAAGGTAGAAAACTCCAATCTGTAGAAGGCCCCAGGTAGTCCCAAAGGTAGAAAAAAAGAAAGGTCCCAGGTATTCCCAAAGGGCGCCCACTTGATATAGGTCCAAGCCGTTTCAATACCTCTTAGAAGACTTCCAGCCCTTTTTTTTCCTTGTAAAATTGCGATGGCCTTGAGATATTATCATTGAACTGACCGGCCCCAGGTGATT